CCCAAACCAACCCCGCCCCACCCCAGATGTCTCTCTGTGAACTACCTAGTACAGGAGGTGGGGGTGGGAAAATCAAAACCATAAAAACTACATTTCAAACACCTGGAGATGTTGGTGGGAAGGGGGAGAGACGGGGCAGCAAGTGGACCTCACGTATAGCTCTCCTGCTAGGCCAGCATCCCTCCCCCTGGGATGAAATGCTGGGATCAGGGCCAGGGGCCCAAACCCCCACACACCACACACACGAGGCCGGAACACACTTGCCCTTGCACACACATATCCCGCACACATGCACACACACACCCGTGTGCATCTGTGTCTTAGATACACAAGGACACAAACAGCACACACACAGTCCAAGGCGCACACACACACAAGTGACCATAGCACTGACACACATTCCCCTTAAGGCTGCAGAACGTGGGGCTGGGGAGGGGGGTGAGGTGGCCTGGAGCCTTCCTTCTCAGAGGCCCCCACCCCAGTACGTACCAGAGACACCCACTCCTGCCCCCTCCTCAACCCAAGTCCATGGGGCCCAATACTGTCTCGGTGCGAGATGTGTAACAGCCAAGGCTGGCGCCCCTCCGTCCCAGGTAGAGAGAAGGGACAATCCCGGCCCCCATCCTGGAAGGGGCCAGGGCCAGGCCTGGGGTGCAGCGGGAGGTAAGGCCGGCTGGAAGGAAGCCCTGGTAAGGCACGGGGCTTGGGGGTGGGAAGGCTAGGCCCCCAAATGTTCCTCCTGCCTCGTCCACAGGGTCAGGAGAGCAGCGTGGGGCACAGGGAGGCAGTGTCCATCCCCTTGGCCGCTCCGTTCTGGTTCCCCACAGGGTAATCGACCCCAACCTACCAAGGGAGCTCTAGACCTCCGCTCCTGCAGCTCCCAAAGGCCCCACCTGGCCCTGGACATTATTGCTTTTCTGCCACTGTGTGGGGAGGGGGCTGGACTGTCCCCTTGCCAGGCTACTCAGAGCCTAACAACAGGCACGGAAGGTAGCCCCAGGGCGCCACCCCCTCCGAGGGTGGCACAGCACAGAGGCAGGCAGCGGTGGGCAACCAGCTGGAGACTCAGGCAGGCCCCCAACTCCACCTTTACTCCCTACTGGGGCTTGTGTTGATTAAAAATCAAAATCTTCCCAACTGCCCAAAGGCCAGGCCCTGGGGCAGGCGGCGGAGTCTTCCCAGTCCTGACTTGGGAGCAAAAGTGAGGGCAGGACAGGATCCTGGAGGCAGGGCTGCTGGGTCCGCTGAGGGGAGTTTGGCAGAGGGCTGAAGAAAAAACTAGAAATGGGGGTGAAGGGGTGAGGAATGGAGATGCAAACAAAAAAGGCAAAATAAAAAGTTAAAAAAGAAAAAAATAGACAAAGCCCCCCGGCGGTGATGGCAGCCATGGGTATCCGTGGTAGTGGCAGCGGGCGGGCAGGCAGCACTGCTCACTCGCGGATGCTGGCCGAGTAGGAGAACTGGGGGAAGTGAGTCCGCTGGTCCAGGTCGAGGGAGCCCAGGCTGTCATCTACAGGGTCAGCAGAGGGGGATTGGGAAGACAGGCTTGCAGAGGGCTCAGCTCCCCACCCAGACTCCCGGGGAGGAGGGGACAGAGGGGACTCAGCCTCAGGAAGGACTACAGGCAGAAACCCCAGCTGGTGAGTGTCCTCAAGACTTCTTCCTTGACAGAGGCCCTTTGGTCACAGCCCCACCCCCAGGCCAGAGCCCTGGCTCTGGGGCCCCAGAGCTGCTCACACAGCCACCTGAACATCCCACGTCCCGCCCCACCAGTTCCCCAGCTCTCCTCCTCCCCTCCCACACCTCAATCCAGCTCAAGGTCCACCCAGACCTCTCTGACCCCGCTCCTGCCCTGACCACCACTCCTGCCCACAATAATCCCTCCACAAGCAGCCAAGGGTCTTTCTAAAGCCCTGACAAGCAGTGCCGCCACCACCATGGACAACTCCCTTAACAAAACCCTCCCACAGCTCCCCATACAATTCCCCACTTCTCCCAGTGGCCCCCAAGACCCTCCTGCTCTGGCCCTCATGCCTCTCCCTCTCCCCTCCCCATCTAAACCCTGCAATGCTCCCATTTCTGGATGTCCCATATGCCATTCAGCTGCCATACCTCCCCCTCCAGGAAGCCCTCCCTGGCCTGCAGTCAGGCATTTCCTCTAGGCTTCCCCAGTCCCTGTGCTCCTACACTCTAGCTCTGACAACCGTGGGCTGTCACCCCACCTGGACTGGGAGCTCCCTGCGGGCAGGGCCCAGGGCTGTCTCCATCACTGCTGTGTCCCCAGCAGAGCCCAACACTGGGCAGGGGAGAGTGAGGACTCAAACAGGTACAGAGCCAATGAACTAACCCGGCTCCAAACACCTGGGCAGTTGGGAACCCGATTACAGATCTGCCATCTCAGTACTGAAACGCCCCAAGCATCTCGTGCTCTGCCCGGAGCACCGGAACGTGCTGGACCCAATGGCCTCTGGTAAGCCTCACTGGGTCTGCGGACGACTAACAGCAAAAGCCCCTCATGATTCCTCCTGGTGAACTGGGCCAGGGGCAGACACCCTCCACCCCCGGGGTTCAGGGCCTCAGGCACTCACAGCGGTCCGGGGGTGTGATTGTGATGGACTGGGCAGTGAACTCATCATCGAAGTACCTTGTGTCAACCTCAGACGTGACCTGAGGTTTGAAGGGTGGCGGGAGCTGTGGAGGAGAGGAGCCCAGGCTCAGGACCCTGAGGACAGGCAGCTTGGCCAAGGTCACCCACACGGGGAAGAGCTCCTGCTGGGAGGTGGGTGGTGCTCTCACCTTCTTCTGTACCACGTCCTGCCAGTTGATGCTGAGGAAGAACCTGTGCTCCATGACCTCCTTGGCGTCGCTGGGCCCCCCGCCGAGCCTGGGCAGAGATGGCCATGAGCACCCCCCTCCCGGGGCAGCCAGGTTCTGGGAGACGCTTTCGGTGCAGGCCTTGGCCTGTGACACGCAGGCCCTGAACAACCTCAATAATCCTGTCCCAGCCACAGACCACCACCTCACAGAGGAAAGTGAGGCAGGGAGGGAACTCCTGTGCCCAGGGTCAGAGCGAGGAGACTGCAACTGGGCCCCAGCCCAGAATGTGAACCAAGGGGGCAGATGGCCACCTCACATCCTGGCTCTGGCACGTATGACTGGGCCTCCCTAGGGTAGGACAGGGCTGCCCTGCTCCTCAGCGTCCCCACAAAACAAGGTAGTATGGACAGAGGACTAAGGACAGGCCTGCCCCAGGGAAAACTCCCTGAGTGCCAGCTGTGGGGACTACCGAAGACTGTGGGGACCACCGGACACTGTGGGGAACACACGTGGCACATCCACCAGTGCATGTGCTTGTGGACAGTGCCCCTCTGGGTTGAGGGGACAGTGGCAGCAGGTGGCGCTGGGCAGAGCAGGGCAGTTGCCAGCCCTCACCTCTGCTTGGGGTCCTTCTTAAGCAGCCCAGCCAGCAGGGACTTGGCCTCGGGGCTGAGCGTGCGCGGGAAGCGGATCTCCTCCATGAGGATGAGCTCGAAGAGGCGCTCGTGGTCCTGGTTGTAGAAGGGCAGGCGGCCGCACATCATCTCGTACATGACCACACCCAGCCCCCACCAGTCCACGGCACGGCCATAGTCGTTGTCCTCCAGGACCTGACAGGGAGGGGCAATGAGGGCCAGACCCACACCCTGGGGCCCAGGAGCTAATGTGCCCAGTAGGGACAAGGCCCTGCAGGGGGCTGGGGAGGGCGATCTGAGGAACTAGAGCCCTCAGAGTGTCTGGGCAGGGGAAGCACAGGGTCCCAGGGCCACGCCTCCCTTGGCATCACAGCCCCAGACACCTCGGGTGCCAGATATTCGGGGGTCCCGCAGAAGGTTTTCATGGTGGCCCCGTCACTGATGCCCTCTTTGCACAGGCCAAAGTCGGTGATCTTGATGTGGCCATCTTTGTCCAGCATGAGGTTTTCCAGCTGGAGGAAAAGCCAGTGTATCAGGGACATGTCTTTCCGGGCTTCCTGCCCCCTCCGTGAAACCCCACGTGCCCGGCCCTGCCCTGGAGGGGGCTGTGGCCTGGGATGGCATCTGTCACACCAGGGGCTCCAGGCTGAGCCATGGGTACACCCCAGCACAGGGCTAAGCCCTCACCCTCTGAGGCTCCCACCTCCCCAGTCCCTGGCCGCCCCTCAGGGAAGCTGGGAAAAAGCAGGGCAGAGAGATAGAGCCGGTCCTGCCCCAACCTACCTCCCCACTTAGGACGTGAGGGACAGTATCTCCCTTTCTTTTGCCTAAACTTCACATAAGGGTCCATTTAGTGGGCCTCTGTGTACCTCCCTAAGGTCAAGACAGAGCATTTCCAGACCCTCAGACCCCCATGTGCCCCTTTCCTGTTAGTAACCACCGGTGCTCCGGACAGAGAAGTAACTTGCATCTTTTTGAAGTTTCTCCCGCTTACACATACACCTGTCAACACAGACCCGCCTGTCTGTCCTGGCTTTCCCCTTGATTTTAGTCTGTAAGATGCACCCATGCTGCTGCATGGGGCTGGAGTGTGGTCCCTTTAACTACTGTGCAGTCCCAGTATGCGAACCCACCACCCGACTTCATCCCTTCTACGACAGCAGACACTCAGGTGGCTCCCAGTCTGGGGTCAGTGTGATTATTGCTGCTAGGGTGTGTATCCACATTTTGAGGTGCACAAAGGTATACCTAGGGCACAACGGCCAGCTCACAGGGGATGCACATGTTCAGTGATGGTAGATTCTGCAAACTGCCTTCTAAAGTGCCTATACCAACTTACACCCTCGCTGCATGGGAGCATTTGCTCACAAGAGGCTCAGAAGGGACCTCATGCAGGGCTGCTTGCTGTGGAACCACCACCTGGGGCCGGAGCAGGAGGGTTCAAGCCCCAGAGGGAGCCAGACACATGCACAAGGACAAGACAGACCCTCCCTGGGCAGTAAGCTTGGTATCCCCAGTGTGCCCCAGGCCAGCCCGGACCCTTGCCAAGAGGTGACCGCACACTTACCTTGATGTCACGGTACACTACATCCCTGGAGTGCAGGTACTCCAGGGCTGAGACGATCTCTGCGCCATAGAAGCGTGCCCGCTCCTCCGTGAAGACGCGCTCCCGGGACAGGTGGAAGAACAGCTGCCGGAGGTGGGGAGGAGGGGATAGGGCATCAGGCCGCTGGCCCAGGGGAGAGGAGGATGGGACCCTGCCTGGCAGCCCAGTGACAACATCACACCTACTCCATGAACTGGCAAGTGACAGCAAGAAGGACCAACTGAGAGAAGAGTTCATGTGAAGGACTGACACCACAGGGAGAGTAGGGGGTGGCATGAAGGGGACAGTGAATGTGGGAGTGACAGCAAGGAAGCAGAGGACACAAGTCATGAGCAAGTGACCACAGCTGTGACCAAAAGGGACAGATGAAGTCACACCTGCATGATAGAGGAGTGAGGGTCTTGGAGCAGGTGATAGCGAGTGGCTGACTGCTCTGCATCACTTGGGAAAGCAGAGGACTGGTGGCTCTTGACCTGCACACCCTTTCTTCGCAGGTCATCCTCCGAGAACATCCTCTGCGCTGTCATCCAACCACCCTCACAGCCCTCTCCACACCTCGCTGCACCTCAGCGTGCATCCCACCCACCAGCTCACTAGCTATGTGCACTTGGCAAGTTACTAACCCTCTGAGAGGATGCTGTCTGCCTCCAGGGGCAGGAGAACAGAACGAGCTTACCCCCCTCGTAAGTCTCCCTCCGCCCTCCCCC